AAAGACACAAATGTTATCCGATTTTCATTGATCATTATTTCCACGAATTAGACTACGTTTCAAAACACACCGACAATACAATAAAAATACCAAATATTTTGTATTTAAAGACAATACAAATGCACACATGAGGATCACTTAATTTGTACACCAATTCAGTGCACTATTCGTGACACTGATTGTCAACTAAATTTTATTCAATTCATTTAATACTATTTGTATTTTATAATCAAAAGTTAAAATAAAACTTAATTTGGTTTTATAAATCAATTCACGACTGCAAACAAGACTTTATTTCATTTGAACGCAAAAAGTGTTTCAAAAAACTTTAAAAACTACTCATACATTACACATAATAATAATAATAACTTAAATTTTATACTCATTTATATTCAATTTTGAAAGCACTACAGAAAATTGGTTTTGTTTGATATAATTTTATTATTCCTAACACATTGTATATCTCAATGATAGACACAACATGCACTTTGAATTTTAATTTCATACCTTAATTATATAATTTATTATATATTTCACAATAATTCTTTAAATTTTACTTTCTTATACAAACAAAAGGTTGTAAAAATGTCTTGTAATTATAGTATTATAGTAATTAAACAGTGATTTCTATAGATATCTTACAAATTCATGTGATATGTTATATAATGATTAAACTGATATGGAAGTAATTAAAATGCGAAAACATTTCATAATAATCAAATAATAATAATATTTACAATTTGATAATTAATTTATTGAACTCCATTTGTAGTTACACTCGTATTTGCCTTTTGATTATTTTGAAGTAAATGTGATTATTTTCTAATCATTACGTTAACACTAATGTACAAAATGATAGCAATTGCCAAATATTGCAGCCTAATAGTATTATATATTATTTTATAATACACTCTACAAAATCAATTAAAGATATCGATGATATCATATTAATTAATTGTTTATTTATCAGCAAATGTACCGTAAGTTGAATTAATGGGTAAGTTTTCATTTTGTGGTGATATGTTACTAATTTGTGGTCCCATATCCCTGTCCTCCAGATCCTCCTCCGCTTCACTAGTGGTGGACCTATTGAGATGTGACTCTTTGGCCAAATTCATCAAATGGTTGAACATATCTTCGCCGGTCTTTCTGCACATGTCGTACAACTGTCCCCTCCGTTCCAGTAAAGCGAAGGGTTCGTCAAACTCGACGATCTCTCCCGCGTCTAACACCTGATGGCAGGGAATGGGAGGGAAGGGATGGATTATCATATATACAGTATATAGATAATAGATTGTATACAATATATTATACCAAAACGCGGTCGCAGTCTATAATAGTGTTGAGTCTGTGAGCGATCGTAAGGACCGTACGGTCACTGAATTTGTGGCGAATTGTGGTCTGAATGACGGCATCCGTCCGGTGGTCCACATTAGCGGTCGCCTCGTCGAGCACTAGTAGGCGGTTGTGGCGGAGTATAGCTCGAGCCAAACACACCAATTGGCGCTGACCTACACTCAGATTACCGCCCCCTTCG